AACCGAGGCAGCCGCCAGGGGAAGCGCGGGGTCTGGGCAAAGGTGTAGTCGTGTGAACGCGGTTGCACGCTTGGGCGCGTGTTCGCCTTCCTGGATTGCAGTCGTTACAGCGGTTGCCCATTACTGTACGGCTGCGGATGGGAGACCTTAGAAATCATGGCAACCGTGCAGTTGGTGCCTTCTTGCGGTTTCTGGGCTTCAGCCATTCTTCCGACCAGGTTCAACAGAGCAAGATTCCTCCGTCGGCTTGCACAGCTTTTGTTGAATAGTGGCGTGTCCCGTACTTTCTAAGCGGGTAGGGGTGATTGGTTCACCTTTCAGAGGGAAGCGATAGGAAGGATCTGAAAAATACACGACTTCGTTTTACGAACAGTCGGATAGGCTTGCTTCTAAACTCGCTGCTGCTGAACTACGAGAGGCCTGTGAATAGGGGTGTGGGGAAACTCCTGGTTTGTTTGTTTTTTCCCTGATTGGATATTGAGCAAGAAAGGATGGGAAGTTTGTGGGCGTCCAGAGCTACCCTGTTTGGGCTGCAGGTCATCTGGACAACCACTAGATCAGTGTTTCTCAACCTTGACAATTTTAAGGCAGGTGGACTTCAACTCCCAGAATTCCACAGCCAGCAATGCTGGCTGTGGAATTCTGGGAGTTGAAGTCCACATGCCTTAAAATGGTCAAGGTTGAGAAACACTGCACTAGACCAGTGGTTCTCAACCTTTTTAATGCCGTGACCCCAACCGGTCGTAAGTCGAGGACTAAACCGGTCGTAAGTCGAGGACTAAACCGATCGTAAGTCGAGGACTACCCAACCGGTCGTAAGTCGAGGACTTTCCCTGCCCGGGAGTGCCACGCATGTGTGGTTCCGCCCCCTGCGCCGGCTGAGGCGTAGCTGGCAAGCGGCAGAGACGGAGCAGGCTGACCACCAGCTGGCCCAGCCCAAGGGAGGTAAGGCACCCGCTGGAAAAGGGGGAAAAAATGGCGGACAAAAAAAATGGCGGACAGCCTTGCTTGGCGACCCCCGTGAAATGGTCGATCGACCCCAAATAGGGTCCCAACCCACAGGTTGAGAACCACTGCACTAGATGATGGCAGAAGTGGGCTCTATATCATTTTGCTGCCATCTGATGATTCAGTGGCTTTTTATAGTAGCTCGATTTTCTGCCAAGAAAGACCTGGTTTTCTTGTTAGTGATGTCCATTGGAGAGTGAAGCTGGAAACATATGGGAAAAAAGTTGTCAACTTTCTCTTATTCAGGGCAGTTACTGTATTCAAGCATCGCAACCGAAAGTTATTGAAGAGATTAGTAAAGATAGTGTTATAGGTAAGACAGTCTTCCCCACAATGGTGTCTTCCAGATGTGTTGACTACAATTCCCATCAAACCTGAAACAATATTTAATAGGAACTTTGTAGTCTTGTACACTTAACGAGTGCCACATTGTGGAAGATCATAACTACAGTTGAATGAGTATTATTCAGGAGTCCTTTATTCTTTTGTATATCATCTAGTATTGGAAGTTTTCTAAACAGGTGCAAAGCAAGATAAAAACCAATGCACATCTGCTCATAAGTACTATTGAATATATAAGAAATTGTATATGATTGCTGCTTTTAAAGCTTTCAGAGGAGTCATGTAACAAAATTGTAATGTTTTAATGTATCAGTTTCAATAAGCAAAATAAGGTAAACAATAACATATTAGAATACGCTTCGCCTTAATTGAGTTAGTTATAGTATTACATTTTGAAACATTTGGAATATATCTGTATGGAAGAGTATATAATGGTTGGCTGGTATCTGTTTCCAAGAAAATGTAACAGCATTTTTTAAAAATAAAATTAAAACCATTTATATTTAGTTTAGAGTCCGGGTTTCACATTTCAGTGGTTTTAGCAGTACAGCAATTGTTTGCCCATCAGGTTTTGCAGTGGTAGCTGTTTGCTGACCATGCATAGCAGCCTTTATCCTACTTCATTAGTGAATCAGAGTGGGAGATCTAGCTACTCATGTTATATTCATGCTCTCATCACTACCTGGTTGAATTCCACAATGCTCCACATTGAACACTAGAAACTACATTTGGTACAGAATATATAGTCTGCCCGTTAGCTGGCATGTGTCACCAGGAGCATAAAACTCCTATATTCTTCCAGTACATTTCTGGGTGCAATTCAAAGTGCTGGTTTGACCTTGCAAAGTCTTATTTTGCTTGGCTGCCAGATGGCTGATTTTATTTTGATTTTTCACATTGTTTTGTTATTACTTATTACATTACTTATATTTACTATTGACATTTAATATATGTGTTCATTTATTGCTGGGAGTCCTAGCAAATTACAGGTAGTCCTCATTTAATGACCACTCATTCAGCAGCCATTCAAACTTAAATGACAGGACTGAACGACTGGTATTACAACCAGATCTTTTATTTATGGCTGTTGCAGCATTTGTATTTGCTTTGCTTTGACTTCCTTGGTTGATGCATTGTTTTGCCTGGTCATAGGTTACACACACACAAGCATGAGAGTTTTAGTAGTTTATAGATTAATGTGATTGAGTAGGCATAGCTCAGTATTTAGTGCAAACCAAGCAAACGTGATGCCATAATGATTTTTTGGGGACATATTACGGGTAGTCCTTGACTTCTTGCGATCACAATTGAGCCCAAAATTTCCATTGCTAAGCAAAGCAGTTGTGAGTTTTGCTCCTTTTTATGACCCTTTTGTTGTCAAGCGAATCACTACAATTATCATAAATACATTCCAGTTGCCAAGCACCCAAATTTTGATCACATGACTCTGGGAGGGCTGCATTTGTCGTAAGTGTGAAAACTGGTCATAAGTCACTTTTTTCAGTGCCACTGTTAACTTCCATCAGTAATAAACAAATGGTTGTAAGTCAAGAACTACCTGTATGTTATACTTTTTAGCATGCTTAATTTGTTATCTGAATGAAACATCAACAGGCTGAAAAATCTGTGTCTGAAGTGATTGGGTGAATATCATATACCCAGGAGACTATAATGGTTGAATGGTCAATTGCCTAAACATGTTATGTAATAGGATCATATTTGTCTAGTCCAGGGGTGTCAAACTCGCAATGTCACGTGATGTGTCGTGATGTATCGCAACATTTTTGCCATGGGGTGGGTGCGGTTTTGCTATGATGCATCCGGCCCGTGGGCCGGCAGTTTGATACCCCTGGTCTAGTCTTTCTTCTCAGTATAAAGAAGATCATAACTTGGTACTATTTCTTAAAAATGTCCCAAATATTTTCAGGTAGCAGCATCTGTTCTTCAGGACTACTCTTCTTACTCTGGAGAAGTAAAGTTGTCTTGTCATGGAAACATGCAACACTGGCTCAGTAAGGCATGGGTCTGTAGGCATGTCATTATTATACTAGTAAATAATATGCAGTCTTCTTTCCAACTTTGGAATTGAAAAGAACTGTGTGGCTGCTAAGATATTTCCAGCCTAAACATTGGAGTTTTAAATCAAAGAGAAAACTTAATTATTTCTCGGATGGGAGCTGTAACTTTCTGTGAAAACTGCAGTTGTTTGAAATAACAAATACGGAGTGTACCCAGGGAGATAATGTATTTCTTTGTTTGTTAGAATTATTTCCATAATGCTACATCCCAAAATGATTCCTGGTGGTTTCTGGTAGTGTTAAAAAAAATCATAAAAAGACAGTCATTAAAACTCAATTAAAATATCCAATTAACAGCATCACCTCTCAGCAACCAATCATCTCCTTTTATAAATACTGTAAAGTGAGACTTGAATATTTCTTAATTACATTTTGTGTGTTTTATAAAATGCTGCTTAGAATGCTGTTTAAATTCCTATTATGAATTATTACTAGCAATATCTTTTGCATTATGAATGTTTTAATAAACTCTTTTCAGCATTATAAAGTATAATGTATTTAATGACTTGGAACAATATCTCAAACTAAATCATCTGGTACGTAGCATAGTGCTGATCATCATATAGTGAAAACAGGAAGGGGGGGCACTTAGATACATTTGTGCAAAGTTCCCCTCTTCCCACTGAAATCCGTAAGGTGAGGCAAACTCCCCGAACAGCCCAGTGTGGGAGACTATGGAATCTTGGTGGATAGAAAATAGAAAATACGTTAATAGTGGAATTCAGTACCTCGGAAACAAATATTATTGCCTAGAACACTAAACTGAAACACTCCTGGTACCATGTATATATGTTAGAGGTTATGTAGTTTTCTCTTTGTGTTTGCTTCCAGTTAGAACTGTTTAATGGAAAAATTCTAGTGCAGTGGTTCTCAACCTTTTTAATGCCGCGACCCCAACCGGTCATAAGTCGAGGACTAAACCGGTCATAAGTCGAGGACTAAACCGGTCGTAAGTCGAGGACTAAACCGGTCGTAAGTCGAGGACTACCCAACCGGTCGTAAGTCGAGGACTTTCCCTGCCCAGGAGCGCCGCGCATGCGTGGTTCCGCCCCCTGCGCCGGCCGAGGCGTAGCTGGCAAGCGGCAGAGGAGGAGCAGGCCGACCACCAGCTGGCCCAGCCCAAGGGAGGTAAGGCACCCGCCGGAAAAGGGGGAAAAAATGGCAGACAAAAAAAATGGCAGACAAAAAAAATGGCGGACAGCCTTGCTTGGCGACCCCCGTGAAATGGTTGATCGACCCCAAATGGGGTCCCGACCCACAGGTTGAGAACCACTGTTCTAGTGAATATATGCTGAACCCAGAATTGTAAATTGCCAGTTTTAAGTAGCCATCCTGGTGAGAATGAATAAGCTCCAGGCAACCAGTTTTTGAAAGCTAGAGGAGACTCATGTGCAAATGGTTTTGATAACTATATGAAAGGGAACGGATTAGTAATTTTTGTGGCTTGCTCATGTTAGATATTGTGAAACTAATTCAGTCTTCTTAGTCATCAGATAATGATAAATCCAAATGGCGTTATGAATGAAGGGGGGAAAAAATAAATATAATCTTATTTGTGTGCTCTGTTCTAGATTTTACGTTTGATTGTTGGCAATGTCCATTATCTTGTCTGCCTCAGTGGTCCGTGTGAGAGATGGACTCCCTTTATCTGCTTCTACCGATTATGAACAAAACACAGCCGTACAGGAATGCCGAAAGTACTTTAAAGGTCTTGCAAAGAGACTCACTGAACTTCCAGACCGATGCACCTTGCAAACAGGAAAGTATAACATAAAGTAAGTTTTCTCTGGCATGTGTATTCTTTCTGCAACATTGGTCTTTATTGTTTCATATAACCTAGATACATTAGTTGCTCTGATAACAGTGAAGAAGGCATCTTTTTACTACAGTGACATTTAGAAATTACATTCTTATTAAGAAGCATTCCTCCTCAAATCTGCAAATCACTTATGCCTACCTGCAAAGGTCCTACTCTTGAACTACTGCCAGAACAATGAGCTAAGGAGGCAGGGCAACTCTTTTGAGGAGTATGACTTATCAGAGCTTAGATTGCTCTGATAATTTCCGCAGAATTATTTTAAGCAAGGTCCTTCTGGGTCCATCTCTTTGGGCCTCAAAGATTAAATCTTTGGGCAGTGCAAGATCTGGCATTAAAAACTGCTTCGTTGCATGCTAGCTTTGTTAACGGTAATGTTATCTATGGCAGCACTTACAGTTATAGACTCAGTCGTATCATTAACTTCTATATTATTTAAGGAAAATAAATCTCTGACGCATCTTAACCCTATGTTTTTATTGTACCAATATTATATTTTGAAATGTTTATCACGAAAAACCAGGGAAATTTTATAAAGCCTTCCTTGTATTATTAAAATGCATCTTTATTATTTCAGAAGAATACACTAGATGTTCCAGTCTCCCCATTTTTCTGTACTATTATATTTTTGTAATTCTTTAAAGATGGGAGGGGCAGATAGTATATTTTTATATGATGTGCCACATATTTTTAAGATGAAGTGTTCCCTAGATTAGATTTTATAAAGAAAATTAATGGGAAAGTCTGTGCAATTCTGTGTAAAGAAATGTAAATTGTCTATATGCACAATGCAAAGATAGAATATTTATCTCATCTACATTTATATCCTCTGCGTTTGACTCAGTTTTAATATATAAATTTCCTGAGATATTTCTGATAAATTCTTGATGTTTCAAAAATAAAATGTACTGAAGAAAAATAAGCTAGTATATCAGCATAACTATTTTAGCAATGTTGGTTATGTGGCATATACATCAAATTGTCTAAGAACTGCTATTTTGAATGCATAAGAAAATGATGGATGAAATGGATTATTTTAGTGGAATGCTTAATAAAGGAAGACCATAAGCATATGACAGAGTTTCAATTAGAAGTGAAGATTTTTACATTTTATAATGAGTTTACTTAATGCCTTTGCTGGATTCTGATGAAGAGGCATCCTTGCTAGAAAAATATTTCACTCTCAGTAAGATAATTCTGTTGATCTTTTTTGTTGTGGAATGAAATAAATGTATACTTAGGAATAACTGATAAATAAAACATTTTGAAGACCGTAGCCTTTATCTATCTATTTCCTCTTTTCCTCTTTGAAGGGGAAAAACTCATTTTCCATTCTTCTTCATGTTTTTGTGTATATTTGTATATGAGAAAACAAATGAGATACATATCATATGTTACACTCATACTTACCCACACCCACCTCCTACCCACACCTACACCTGCCCTCTTTTTAAAGAACATATTAACTATTGGTAGGTAATAGGAAAACATTAAATCGAAATAAAACTTCATTGTTCTGTGAAAATAGCATTATAGTTAGAGATGTAAAATACTATATTCCACTTACGGGACGATGGAACTGTGTCATTCCGGAGAGAGTTCAGTGGATTCCGGGGGCTCATTTTCTGGATCAGAAATAGTATGGATCTAATACATGTCTAGGATACTTTGAACTGGTTCTGGTTCAAAAGATTTGCTTCTGGGAATCACTCCCAGAACAGCATGATCCAAGAGGAGGTTCAGCAAGATCACACTCTGTTTCTGATTCAGTGAGTTTTGTACACTCTTAATTTATTTTCTCATGAATAGTAATACTTTTATTAGACTCATGGTTATTTCTCTTGTTGTAGTTTTGTGTAAAGCATACCTAAGCTGATCTAGGAATACATGATTTTAATTTTGAAATGTCATACACTTTTCCTCCCCCACCAAAAATACAGCTTTATTAGTTCCCTGGGAGTGAGTTACATGATGCTCTGCACCGAAAATTACCCCAACGTCCTTGCCTTCTGCTTCCTGGATGAGCTTCAAAAAGAGTTCATTACCACATACAACATGATGAAGACGAATACAGCAGTCAGACCATACTGTTTCATTGAATTTGGTAAGGGGTTCATCTCTTTCTTCAATCATTGGTCTGATTTCGGGCTTCTGATCGTGTGTCATCATGGTTTACAAAATGTAGGATGGAAACCAGAATAGTGCTTACTACTCAGAATTGTAGTGAACTTTAACACAAACAAATGTCTGGTAGTGGCATGGAACCCTGGTACTCGTTCATATTACAAAGCCTTCAGAAGTTGGCATAATTTATAAACAGTCCACAGTTTTCAGAAACCAGAGGAATGTACCGTAAGACACGGGATGACTGTATTTCACACAGCTTGATGACCCAGTGTTCTGCCTATTTTATGACCATCTCACTTAATGCCTACTGTTTCCGTGGGGATGCAGTAAAATTTACTTATTTATTTCCATCATACACTACAATAATCTGCATAGATTCCTGGTGGTTTACAACATTAAAACGATACTGAAACCTAAGGCAACAATATAGTAATAATGTGTTACAGAATACAGATGGCATGAAATTCTCATTCCCCAAATACTGTCTGGAAAAGCTCTGATTTTAATAGCTTCTGGAAGGCTAATAGAATGGGTGCTGATCTGAACTCAGTGGGGAAGCTGCTTCCATAAAATAAAGACTGCAGCAGAAAAACATTGCCCCTGAGCCCTTCTTTGTCAACCGCCATTAATAGGAAGCAGTTAACATATTTTTGGAGGGAACATACCAGTTGCCCCCTCAAATCCTATTGTGCTGCTTCATCCGGGCAGAGTGTGTGTGTACCTGGGGTGGATAAGCAAAGAACAACTGGGATATGTGCCAAAGATATAGAGTCCCCAGCAAAGTTTCCCCAAGACCTAAAACTCATCCCAGTCACTAGGTAAAGAAGTAAAAATTATCAAAAGAAGAAGAAGAACCCAAGAAAGATAAAGATTTCAGGAAGCAACTTAACCAAAACTTTCAACGAGCTGTTGGAAGATACAAGAAGTATTACAACAACTTCTGTAAAGACATTGGAGACAGACAGGAGTTCAAAAAGATCTCTGAACTGAGGTTTCAACCTCCAATTTGCATACCAAAAGATGCCAGTAGATAGATAATGCTATGCAGTCTTCAGATGCTGCTCCATGTAAAGTACACCACAGTAATCTAGCCATCTGGGAATAAGTACTTGAACCGCATTGTCTGTAAAAGTGAAATGGTGGATTTCACTGCTCAACTTCATAATAATATCCTCATTTTAAAAAACATATTGACAATAAAGGGTGTAAATCTATATGAGATTACCCTGGGGTAAGGTCCTAAGAATTAGATGGAATATACTTTTAAATCAACATGTGTATAATGATGCATCAGGTTTGATAAGCACAGTGATACTTAGCATGAAATTATAAATAAGCTGAGAATAAGTAGAAATAAAAAAAAACATTTCACCATCCTTGCACTCAGTGTACTGTGTATTTTGCTAATTAATTTGTGGTTGTCATGCTGTGCTTATATTCTATGGGAAAGTATTTCATGCTATAGGAGATGGCATTTTAAATATTATGTTGTAATTCAGAGAAGTGCCTGGAGCTCAGAATAAATGCCTATTTTTCCTAAGAAAGTATTCCGAATTACAAGAAAAACTAAATCAAATGTAATTAATTAATTATATTAGTTGCACTTTCGGGCTTGCCAATGCATGCAACATTAGTTTATTCATAATTAAAATTGTAGCATTTAATCTTCTGGTGCTGCAAAATTAATTAGCCCATGATATACTAGGTAGAAAGCAGCAGCAATATTAAAATTTTCTACAGTGGATGATTGAATTTTAAATAATGAATTTAAGTGTGTGCATCTGAGATGTATGTTGCCCATAAAGCTATGGGGTCCCCCAGTGATGTTTTCACCAAAAATCTAAAGGGGGTTGCTTTAATTTTATACAGATAATTTTATTCAGAGGACCAAACAAAGATACAACAATCCACGATCTCTGTCAACAAGGATAAATCTTGCTGACATGCAAACAGAAATTAGACTGAGACCACCTTATCAGATTTTGCTGTCAGAACTCTGTTCGACCAATGGATATCCCTATGGATCTCTACAAGAAAACAAAGATACAAGAAAAATGTCTCCAGGTGAGATGATGGACTTACGTTTATCTATTCAAATTTACTTATTTTAGGATAAAGGTAGAGATTGACCTGCTTGATTTACTGCATTCCTTTTGTACATTTCATGGCCAGTTGCAACATGAGGACTTCGGTAATGTTGGATTTTGAACGGCTTGCTCAAGCTCAGATGGGGGGGGGAAGGATCCTGAGCTAGTTTATCAGTGCAGTGTGAAGACCTTTTTTTCCCTTGGTGTCCCAGTGAAAAGTTACTGCTGACAAGGACAGTTTCGTCATATTGTGAATGATGTGTGTGGGGGAGAGAGAGGATATTAGGGACCATGACCCAGAAAAAGAAAAAAATCCCAGGAAACCATAGAACTGATCAGTCATTATTCTCCCTAAAATCAGCAGAGATTGAATAATAATGAAGTATGTCTTTTACCCAATCCCTCGTTTCAATGGCATCATAGAATTCTAGATAGAAACATAGCACTTGATCAGTCTATAGTGGTCATCTATAAGAACTCAGTGTTGTAATGGAGATCGAGAACTAATTTCAAAGCCTACTTTGTTGTGTTTTTGACAAGTTGAGTTTAGATATATGTTTAAATGAGTTAACTATTTAAAATTATTTTTCTATCCCAGAAGCTTCTCCCCAATTACATGTGAAGCTGTCCACAATTTAGTTCTTGGCAAAGCAAAAAGGCTCTGCTTTATAAAGTTTGGAAAGAGCATTGGTCAGACAGAAGCAGTCCTCTTCTCTAGAGAAATTCACTTTGTCATTTCTGAGCATTTTCTGACTTTATGAACTACTTTGGAGAGCCTTTTCTGCTGCAGCTGTTCAGTGTGCACAAGGTAGAATGGCACCCCTCTTTCTATCAATGTTCCAGCTCATTAACTGCATTGTTGGCACTTTTACACTTCACCGATTTAGACAGAATGATTTACATATGGTTCATTCCCCTTTTTGTCTATCTCTCTATGTTGCCTAGACTACAGGGGGTTTTGCCCTGTGTTTTTCCCCCCAAACATTCAGTTTCTGTCACTTGTAGAATCTCATAGTAACACCTGTACACACATTCAGTATGAATTGGCAGTCATTTGTGCGTATAGTTGGCATTTTGTGGAAGAGATGAATATCAGCAAAGATGCTTACACTCTATATTTTCTTTGCTCTTTATTTTTTTCCTCTTCATCGCCCTTGCGATCAGGGAGAGAATGGCAAGTGTGGAGTTCTTTTGTATCCAAGGAAAATAAAATGCATACTAGAGTGTGGGGTCCTTGGGGCTTTCTGAGCTTGGTGGTTTTCTTGCAGATGTTTCGTTACCAAAGTAGGTAACATCTTCAGGGGTTTTATTGGTAACGAAACATCTGCAAGAAAACTACCAAGCTCAGAGCGACCAGTTCAGAGCAACAGATATTCTCTTCTATTGAAATATAAGAGCGTCAAAAATTGTCGTACATCTTTTAGCTTTCCTCTGATTCATTTCACAATGTTCTGTTTAAGAGAGGCCTAAAACCAAACCCATCTTGAAGAACCCCTGTAAGATCAGCATGGCCTGTCATTATATAGATATATCCACATAGCTGACCAAGGAATAATTGACTAGATGTGCATAGTAAGTACGTTTATGGGAAAAAGTAGGAAATAAGTCCGGAATATTTTTGGTAGTATTCCCTATCATTGGAAATGATGAAAAATATATGCATATGGGATGTTTGTAATCTTTTGTACCCTCTTTTAGAAGCAGCTCTCATTGGTATCTCGATGCCTTCTAAATAAGTGCATTTAGCGTGGGCTTTTAAATCACTCTTTAGACCTGTAACATGCTTTAACAAAGAAAAAAAAACTGAAATGTGAAAAAGTACAATTTTAAAAGCCTGATTTACTTATTCATTGGCTAATTGATAGAGTAACTTTGTGTCTGTGTTTTTATTTTGTTAATTTAATTTAATTGTTTAATTGTTAAATTGTTAATTTAATTGTTAATTTATACTATGTAGATTAGGTATATTAGTTTGATACAGGTAGTCCTCGACGTATAACCATTTGTTTAGTGACCATTCAAAGTTACAATGTCACTTTTTCAGTAACCATTTTTCACACGACTGTTGCAGCATCCCCGTGGTCATGTGATCAAAATTTGAATGCGTGCAACTGGCATGTATTTATGACGGTTGCAGTGTCCCGGGGTCATGTGATCCCCTTTTCCGACCTGACAAGCAAAATCAATGGGGAAGCCAGATTCATTTAACAACCTTGTTACTAACTTAACATCTGTGGCAAGAACGGTTGCAAAATGGGGTAAAATTCACTCAATAACTGTCTTGCTTAGTAACAAAAATGTTGAGTTCAATTGTGGTCATAAGTCGAGGACTACCTGTATGTTGTTACATCTTGTAGAAATTAAGTTTCTACTCAGGCAACAAATACATTTTTCCATTGGGTGGGGGAGGCTGCATTTTAATCTGCACAATAATACAGCCCAGCAATTTCTAGTATGCATTTCCAACTAAATATAAAAGTTGCAAATGGACCACTCATGCCCTCAATTAAGCTGTGTTTCCTCATTTAAGGTACATTGTCTAGAACAAGAAAGAAACAGAGAAAAATAGAATTAGCAGGGTTTGCTCAAACATTAAAGAAAGCTTTTAAAATATTTATACTGTTTTCTTCTCTCTGCTACCAGCCCCTCACCAACGACTGGAACCTGTGACACTACCGGGAATTGTTTCCTTTCTTCTCAGCCTTTTATGTGCTGCTTTGAATTTAATTCGTGGTTTTCATGCTATAGAGAGTCTTCTACAGGTACCGTAATTACATTCATAACTTTGAAACAGGAAAAAATATTTTGAAGTAATTCTCCCAGTGAAATAAAAAAGTTTATTAAATCGTCACTAATCGCCTCATTTTAGTGAGACCTTATCATTAACCTACTCCTGTAACAGAAAGGAATAGTACACCTCAATGTCCGACTCAAACGTAAGGACTTGGCTTCACAAACGGTAGAGTCAAAGGATCAAAGCACTTTCTCGTTCTCTCCAAAAACTACGTCTTTTGTTACAGACATAATTCTCTCTTTCTTTCTCTCACCCCCGCCCTCCCTCCTCTCTCCTTCCTTCCTTCCTTCCCTCCCTCTTCACCCAGCTTTCTTAAAAGGAAATAGAGGTCACTGAGAAATCTAGAATGGACTATGTTAAATGTCTAAGAGCTACATTCCTTGTTAAATTGTCAAGGAAGTGGGAACCTGGGTTGCTTGTCTATGTCGTTCACATAAAATAGATTGAAGCTGATATGTTTTAAGTTTTGTCCTAGTGCCGTGGTGGCGAACCTATGGCATGCGTGCCACAGGTGGCATGCAGAGCCCTCTCTGTGGGCACGCGTGCCGTCGCCCCAGTCCTAGGCCTTCAGCTGGGTTTTATAAAACCTTTTTGCTTTAGGCCTCCGCCGCCATGTGCAAAAAAAAAAAAAGGTTGACTCAATCGATCAATTTCAACTTCTCGTGGGGAAAAAAAGATCTCGCAAAGTTGGAATTGATTGATTGAACTTTTTAGTCCCACCCAGTCTGTTGTTACGACCGCAGCCATGCCCACCCAATGGGACACGCCCACCCAATGGGCCATACCCACCCAATTGTCCACACCCATCCAATGGGCCACACCCACTCAATGGGCCCCGCCCACCCGGCACCCAATGATACATAAGTGGGTTTGGGTTGCAGTGTGGGCATTCGGTCTCTAAAAGGTTCGCCATCGCTGTCCTAATGCATGCTAATATTTGTTGTTGATTATAAGGGAATTCAGAATGTATTAATCCAGACAGATGTGATAGTTCAGACAATTCCTTATGAAGGGATGAAATCCCTATATCCATGGTGAGAGTAGAGGCTAGAATGGCACTGAGAGAAATATCCCATTTGTGCCCCCCCTTTCTCTCTCTCTCTCTCTTTTTTCTCTTTCTCATTTTCCCTCATTATCTCTCATTCTGTCACACATTATCTCTCTCTTTTAGAATGCAGACATGCTACAAAAACTCTCTATACTTTTGAAGATGAGAATATGTACATATTGTCCACTTATTAATGAGGGCGATACCTTGATTGCTTTAGTATTTCCTTGTCCTATTCTATCATGCATATTAAAAAGTTGAAAAGTTTGACTTCAAAACTATATTTACCAATTGAGTTAAATTTCTGCCTTTCATATTAACATTAATGAATAGTTTGTTCTGGGCACCATTCCAGTCTTCCTTGCGTTTTTCTCCCTCTCCTATAACTTGTCCTGAAAGCCTTCACATATTCCTCTTTTCTCTCTCTCATCCTCTCATATGGAAGAACTCCTTTTTCTGGGAAGTAGGCCAACTGTAAACAATTATATATAATCCATTTGTACTGTGTGTTCATATAAAACACATAAGGTGGGAAGGCAAGAATTTTGTTCTGGGTTAAACAGTCAAGTCCATTGCAAAACAAATGGAATTTGGATCTACTGAGTCCAAATTCCCTGCCCAGGATCTTTAGGTATTCCAATTGACAGAAAAGTGCTGTGTTATTCTTAGCTCTCTTGCCAAAATAATTAAATTTACTTTCTGGGTTCTGTGGCTTTTTAGTTTAAACTAAATTTTAAACTAAAATTGTGACAGCATAGCACCATCTGCTGGCTATGTTCTGTTTTACATGATTCTCACTGAATCAAACTGCTCTGGTTTAAGGCCAAACTAAATATGAGAACAGCTGATCAGTTTGTTTAAAGGCGATAGGCACAAATTACTTAAAGTGGTAGCAAGGCTTGTGTCCAGTTCTAAGATTAAAAGGTGAACATCAGGCAAATTGCTAAATTTCCCATCTCAAACCGGTCCAGACTTTACATAATCTGTCATGGAAACTTTTCTTTTCTCCCAACCTGTTGATGGAACAGTCTTCAGAGCTTCAGGGAGAGTAGCCATGGATGGGAAATCAATTGACCCTTTTCATCCAAATGCTTAATGCAGATCGGGCTGCTGCTAGAGAAGATTTATAAAGAAGGGTCTACCATATTTTATTTTGTCCCTTGGAAGTATTATTTTTTGGCCCACCAGTAAATCCAGGGAGCAGTCAGAAAATGAAAAGAGAGCACAGGTCACTCCTAGTTATTTGTCTAACCTGGTAATGGGATCAGCTGGACCAATATCAAGACCATTTTAACTTTAGTTTCTAATTATAAGGATCTTCATGTGTCTGTTTAAATGAAGATGGATGACATCCAATTTATGCTTGTGGTTCCTGATTAGAGAAGGTAACTGCTTATGACAGGGGTCTTCAAACGTGGCCCTTTTAGTCACGCTGGCTGAGGAATTCTGAGAGTTGAAGTCCACAAGTCATAAAAGGGCCAGGTTTGAAGACCCCTGGCTTATGATGATGATGATGTGGTGCAAGAGTATTGATACAGTAGACCCTAGAAGACTGGTTTGACGGTTAGAGTTATGTCCTTTTTGAACTAAACTCAAGACCTTTTCTCCGAGGTCTTAAAGGTCATAAATTCTATTAACAGAGGAAACGTATGGTATTTTATATAACTAAACTCTTACGGATAAAACGGGTAAAAAAGTCTTACTTCTTCTACTGAAGTCAAAACAATAACGAAAAAAGGAACCGTGTCGTCGTAGTTTGTATCAGGTATGTACTTACGTATTTTTAGATGTTAATAGATTTGCCACTGGTCACAGCCCAAAACAGGCTTTAGGATTCCTTTGGATTTGGTCATTCTGCCCAGATGCCTGACTAATAAAAAAAAATGAACCACACTGAATTTATTCTAGAAGGGGGGGAAGTATTGCAAAGGCTGTTTTGGTGGGTTTGTACTATCACTGTAAAATGTTGTTGCTTTTGTATGATTAATTTAAAATGATGCAACGTGTGAGACATATTATTTTCTGTTGCAAAGTAAATCTCTTTGAGTGTCGGAAGAGCATTCAGAGATAAAAGAGATATCTTCTTTATCTTCAGAACTCACCTTCTTTTGTATTATGCATGGTATTTGATAGAATTGCAATTCAAGCAAATACTTAAAAATTCCAGTCAGTATAAAACAAATTTTTATCTAAACTCACTAGTTGCCCCGAACATCCAGATTCTAATAGACAACCAAGAACACTATTATCATCTCTATTTGGCTTCACGAGGCAGACTTGAATGACCAATTTTAGTTTTCTGATGTGAGAATTTCCGAACACTCTTCAGAGTCATAGGAAAGCAAAGAGGGCTTTTCTTCCGCAAAAGAATAAAAGTCATACTGAAAGGTTTTTTTTTCTCTCTTTATGTTGGATGGAAGACTTTTTCCCTTTGATTTCTTTGTGCTCTTGTTACAGAATTGAATAAAGTCCTACAAGCTATCGTTTAACTATGATCCTTATTTTTTCTTTGCAGTGCTATCTGTTTGCGTACTGCATGAGCTGGCGGAACATTAAATCTTTCCTAACGTTTGGCTTAATCTGCTTGTGTAATATGTACCTTTATGAATTGCGCAATCTCTGGCAGATCTTTTTTCATGTGACAGTGGGTGCTTTTTTAACGTTGCAAATCCGGCTAAGGCAGCCACAAGGAAAAGCTCCTGATTACAATGTGTGACGGATGTCCTCTGATAGTTTCACGGCAAACTTCATCCAAACAGTATTCTTCTCAGGAATGAAAAGCTTTGGTGTGCGAAGAGAAGTTCCATGTACTCTGAGGCACTAATAAGTCGGCAATGAAATTCTTCCTCAAAGAATTTTTTTTTTAAAAAAAAACAAAGTTCGGGAACTAATTGGGGTACAAATGCAATCCAATGCTGGAGTATATACCCCAAGGATAAATGAGAATTCGGAGGGCAGCATGAAAAGCTCCATTTTTCAGAACACTGACAACGACAAGAATCTGTATTGGACCTGCTCGGCATATTAAGTGATTTCTTCAGTCCCAAACCAGTTTTGCCTTTGTGAGGCAAGAGAAAAGGCTGAAATAAAGGGATGGTATTGCATATTAACAAACAGTTCGGTATGAATGAATTCCTAAATGCTAGATTATTGGATTGCACATAAATTTAATGGTGTGTGTCTGCATTTTCCTTAATTAAAACCTAACCCGGAAACCATCTGTTCCTGGGGATTAGTTCTTGAGCCCCAAAGGCCTGCCATCTAATGCTGAGTTAATTATGAACTGCATTAGTACTTTGTTTCCTTCTGCCTTCTTTCATGTGCTTTGAGAGAGAGAGTTGGAGAATGATCTTATCTGCCCCAGTGCATCAATAACCACCACCACATTTTCTCTTCGGTTCCTTATCTAAAGTTTGAAGAGTAAAACAAAAACCATCACTTTGTGATGATATAGTGGGAGGAGAAAGATGCTAGCTTTTCTCCGTATAAAATCAGAAAACGAATTAAACAGTTGACTTAAGATGGGATGCAGCTAATTTTTAGCCGCTTCTCTGTGTTATGAAAGTATTTGGAGCAGAAGAAACAGCTTTGGATCATTGCAATTTATTTATTTATTTGTATTGTTACAGATTATAACACTGACAGAGCTCTAGGCAGTGCACATAATCCTTTCACATTTCCCATGAATTATGGCCTGGTCTGGGAGAGCGTGACTTGTCCAGCGTCACCCAGAGACTTGCTGGGCCTGAAGATGGACTAACACCTGGTCTTCCTGCTAGATCACTGTGGCTCCAATTGCCAATGTATAAACTACAAGGTGAACCACCTGTGATAATTAACTTTTGCATCCACTGCAGGTAGGGTACAAATAACATGATGAAATGGAGGCAACAGCTATTCTCCCCCCCCCCCCCCCCCGAATACAGAGATTCACTTAATTAAGTATTAAGCTTGTTTAGGCAAAAAGTAGGGCTTGGCATTTAAAAAGATAAGTGCTATGAGCTGAATTCCAGCTGAAATTAGAAACCATTAAAGCTCACTGAAATCAATACAGAGGACCTTTAAATTCATTTGAGATACTATCTCTGACATGCGAGAATGCAAGAACTGTTCAGAATATTGTTGAATATTATCCAGCAATTTCTTAGCCTCTGAGTAGTACGGTAGTACAGAGCCCTGGTGGCACAGTGGTTACAATGCAGTATTGCAGGCTACTTCTGCTGCCTCCCAGCTGCCAGCAGTTTAGCAATTGAGTCTCACCCGGTCAAGATTGACTCAGCCTTCCATCCTTCCGAGGTCGGTAAAATGAGGACCCAGATTGCTGGGGGCAATATGCTGACTCTATAAACAGCTTAGAGGAGGGATGTAAAGCACTGTGAAGCGGTATATAAGTCTAAGTGCTATTGTTATTGCTACTAATTTCTTAGTTTCTCTGGGTGAATTCATTTGCAGAATAGAGTAAAACAGTGGTTCTCAACTTGTGGTCTGTGGATGTCATCATGTGGGATACAAAAAGGCTTGAAAATATGTTACGATTTAAGTCTTGAGTTAAGACTTGAGGTCTGTGGCCGTGGTCCGTGGCCACAAAAGGTATTTAAAGGGAGTCTGTGGTGAAGAAAAGGCTGAGAACCACTGGAGTAAAATCATACTGTCAACATTGGAAGCTCTAAGCAAAATTTGGTTCCAGCAAAAACTATTATTAAACGTTCCTCCTTACATTATGAAATTACAGTTTTTTACAACATTTGTTTTAAAGGAAGAATTATATTGAAGCAGGTGTGCTAAAAGATAATTGGAAACTTTCTAAAAAAGATTGCAAACGAGATGGATTTGTTTTTGGAGTACCTAATCCCCACTAATAACCTATTTGTCTCTTGGCTTGAATTGTATGTCATCTGCAAGTAGTGATAATTGTAGACTGATTCAGTGGAGGAAAAAAAATCTTTGCTTGGGCTCACATAGTACATTAAGCCATGATTTGCTTAATCACAATTTGAATAAGCCATAATTGGCCCAGTTAATATAATACAAAGCCAAAAAATAAATTTTACTGTGGCTTCGGTTTATAAAAGCCCGACTTCTGTATTTTTGTCTGTAATACACAGTAATTTTCAGTGTTTCATGTATTGGATCCTTTTCTACGGTAATGTGATTATGGTATTTTACAGGACTGCACTAAGCCAGCAATGAAAAGCCAGTGCTTTAATGCCTTAATTAAATTTATGGTGTGTATTCATGTTTTTACAGGAGTAAGAAAGTATAAAATATCTCATGATGAATATTTCATAGAGGGCCAAATGATAACAGTGATCTCAAAAATGTGTGTATATTCCTGAAACATTAGATGTAAAATATGTATATATATAATTTTAATATTTGTCATGAGCTATTTTACACTTTCTTATTCATATATATGTATCATTGTTCCTACATTGCTAATTTTCTCTATTTTCAGAAAGAGTACATCACAGAAAATATCTTCCACTTTTTGTAATATAAATTTGCCTGCAGCTATTGTTACCAGTTGTAGATTTATTCAGATAGATGCCAAAGAGTTATTTTCAATTAAGGATTGGGCAACTTTCGTGAGTTTTAATTTCTAGTGTTCCTCCCCGCAAGTATAAATGCCCAATCACTATAAATTATAGTTAAATGAGTTGGCAGCATTATATAATCATATAGTACAATAACTTATATAGATAACTGTCATTAAACAAATCAGTGTGTAAATGTATTAAACTGTAGTCCAATTTAGTAAAAATCATTTGTTCAGGTATCTAGGGTTGAAACTTATCGTCTGTTGCTAATGTCAAGCCTATAAAATACAGAAAGATTTCATCATGCTTTGTGATGGCAAAACAGCCAGATTCTGTGTGGTATAGGCAGAACGTTGTATCTTTGTAGTTGTCCAATTAATGATCATTGTTCTTAACTATTCAATTTTAGCTACCAGCCCAGGCAGGTCTAACATCATGGTCACTAGTTTCAACCAGCTATTTTCTGGAAATTTTGGAAAACTAGTTTATAGCATTTATTGTGGAACAGAATAGTTTACTGCTTGCGCAAAGACTTGATTTAAAAAGATGAATCTAAGGCTAAGTTTATTCCCTCCATGCTGCTTAGAATGTTCCCAGTATAAGCTGTTTGGTTTTTTTGCATTATAGGTAAGAGCAGGAAAACAACTTAACAAGAAAAGGTTTTCTCTGTTGGATTCCACATTCCTTTTAACACCATTCCACATGTCCCTTAAGAGGCCATTTCTTGACCACCACCCCATTCTGGTCAGTTATTATCCAGTCTTCAATGTTCTCTTTGTAGAGAAGGTTGTGGAAAAGGTGGTCAGACAGCAGCTACATAAATTTTGGAATAAATGATTTATCTAGACCTGTTTCAGTTGGGTTTCAGACCAGGGCATGGTATGGGAACAACACTGGTCTCACTTGTTGATTACCTTTGGTAGTTGGCAGAGTGGAGGTTATGCATGCATTCTTGTGCAATTTGACCTCTTGGGTTTTTAATATCAATCGCAGTGTCCTTCTGGATTGGTTATGGGAGTGGGAGGAACTATATTGCAGCCTTCCAGCCTCCATTGATGGGGAGAGATTGTGCCCCTGGCCTCTCATTTTGGGATGCCTCCTGGCTCGACATTCCACCCCCTCTCCTTTTTACATAAACCACTAGGTGAGGTCATCTGTTAGTTCAGGATTCTAGTATCAGTATGATGGTGATGCCCAGTTTTATATCTCAACCCCAGACTGTGCAAATGAAGCTGGTGTTGTGTAGACTCAGTGTCTTGAGGCCGTTTGGGTCTGGCTGGGGCGGAACAGGCTTTGGCTCAATCCTGGTAAGATTTGCTAGGTGTGGCTGTGTGGCCCCAGATTCGGAGATGATTTTATTGTTCTTGGCTGGGGCAGCAACAGCACCACTACCACCACCACCATCCTTTTCAAACTGATGCGGAACTTGGGGTCCTTCTGGACTCATAGTTGTTGCTCAAAGAGCAGGTGACAGTTATGACTAGGAGGATCTTGGCAAAGCTTCATCTTTTGCCCCAGTCATGCCGTTTCCTCAAGCTGGAGGCCCTTCAGGCCCAGTTGTGCCCTGGTCACTCTATGACTGAATTAGTGTAGTACACTCCGGAAGCTACAATTGATTCAAAATGCAGTAAACAAACAGTAATGAGTAGCAGTACCTGCTACTTCTTAGACTGCATTGGTTGCCAGTCAGCTACTGGTTGCAATTCAAGTTGCTAGTCATCACCTATCAAGCCCTCCATGACACAGCCTGGATGTGTGAGGAACTGCCTGTTTCCAGTTGTTTCAGCCTTTCTGGTACGTTTAGGCAGAGCGGGTGGGCTCCAGGATCCTTCCATGGGTAGTCCTTGACTTACAATTGAGCCGCCCCAAATTTCTGTTGCTAAGGAAAATAGTTATTGAGTTTTGCTCCATTTTATGACCTTTCTTGCCACAGTTAAATGAGCCACTGCACTTAAGTTATAACACAGTGGTTATGTGAATCTGGCTTCACCACTGACATTGTCAGGTCACAAAGAGTGATCACATGATCCTAGGACAGTATAACCATTATGATGCCAGTTGCCTGGTGTCTGAATTTTGATCAGGTGACTATGGGGATGCTACTATGGTCATAAGGGTGCAAAACAGTCATAAGTTACTTTTTTCAGGGACCATTATAACTTTGAAAGGTCACTAAATGAACTATTGTAAGTCAAGAACTACCAGTATTACTGTCATCTTAAGAGACTGAGGAAGTGTGTCTTCTCTGCCATGGATCCTACCCTCTCTCTAGGGCACGCAAAAGTCCTTAAGGCTGGCCTTGGTCCCAGTCCTGAGATTCAGGTATTTGTCGTGCCCCATTTGTGGTTTTCTGTTAACTGTTTTGACTGTTTCAGTCTGCACCGTCTGTGCTGTTTTATGATTTTAACTATTTTTACTGTTTTTGAATTTTTATAAGCCACCTAGAGCAAGCATCTGCAATAAATTTAAATAAATAAACAACCGAGAACAGTACAGGAAACAGCAGACCAGCAATAGGGATAATGATAATGACTTCAATATGCTAGAAGTATAGACATTCATCTGAAGCTCACTATTTTTTTTTATTGAGAAAGGAGATTGCTGCTTAATCAGTTATCTACAAAATACCTTCAGGCCTCTGTATCTTTTCAGAACATAAACCAAACTTAATATCATTAGTT